GGAAAGAGAGAGAGAATGGAGTCCTGTGGCACTTTTAAGACCAACAAAGTTTTATTCTAGGTATAAGCTTTTGTGTACTTGCACACCTCTTCAGAGGGGAGGATGGAAAGAGAGAGAGAGAGAGAGAGAGTCCCATGGCACTTCGAAAGATCCCCCTTTCCAGTTCTAATAGATGGGGGGGGGACAGCACAGCTTGCATTCTTTATTAGTGAAAGGGAGCAAGAGTACTAACAAAAGACTAACAAAATTTATGGCAGTGCATGAGCTTCCATGAGTCACTGCCCACTTCTTCAGATACAGCTAGAATGTGAGTCCATCTGTCCTTATATCTTGGAGAGGTCAATAGCAGGCATTGTTAATGAGATAGAAACCTAGGTCTCAGTTCAGTCCAGAAGGATGCATTGTCTTGAGCTTCATTATCAGTTGCAGTTCAGCAGTCTAGTCTCTCTTTCTAATCTTCCTTTGTAAGAAAACTGCTACTCTTAGAGAACTGCTACTCTTAGGTTAGCAACTTTATATCCTGGAAGGCTAAAATGTTCCCCACTGGTTTTTTTTAATGTTGTTGTTTCTAATAGCAGTAGAAAGAGTAAGAGTTCAGTAGCACCTTTTTGGCTGTGAGAGTTGGACCATAAGGAAGGCCGAGCACTCAAGAATAGATGCATATCACACCTAATCCAATCATGCTTACTATTGCCATTTGGCATCTGAAATCATCTTTATAAAGTTTATATCTCCGGTACCTCATGTTACATTTTATGGCACACATGGCCCGGCCAACAAAGTGACATTTATGTCAGCTCCAGCCCTCATAATGAATGAGTCTGATGCCTCTCCTCTAATGCAAATATCATGATTATGTTTGTGGATCTTTCCTTGCTTAATAGATAATTTATGGAGGGAAGGTCCATTCTGCAAAACATGCTCTAAAAACATGTTCTGCAAGCACCGCAGAATGTCATATGCCTTCTGACAAATGTATGAATCTTTGAATCTGGACTCCTAAAACACAAACACCACCAAGCAGAACTATGGCATGTTTTTGTAGTAGCCCTTTTCATGTGCAGATTACCCTTGGCTGGACTGGAACAGTATATAAATGCCTGTGACAGACATACAGCCACATGAAGGAGCCAGGTTTCTGTACTGTTTGCTGATGTGGTGATTGAGAATGCTGGATATACCCGTTTGTTTGCTTCTATGTTAAACAAACCTAAAAGTGAAATATTCAGTAATAATGATAGTAGATACAGTAATGTGCAAAATACTCAACAGCAATCAGCACACATAATTATAGTCAGAGTTTACAATATAATTGCTACTGCATGTTGTTCCATAAACTGAAGAAAGCTTCTTGAACTACATTTCCCAAAGTAGAAAGACTAAAGAGCTGTGGCTGTTATTGAAATGATAGCCCCAAGTATCCACCAAAGGGACGGTAGTAAAAGAAAACATTACATATGAGATACCTAAAGAGAGCTCCATAGATTGCTGCAAACCTAGAGGAATCAGGTGGTGAGAGAAGACTATAAGAGTCAGTACCACTAACATTTTGTGTCTGAGTACAAAGACTAGCATAAAAACTACATGCAAATAATTTGAAGGGAAAAGACATGTACACTTTTTTATACCTGGTATAATATGTGTGTGGTTTGTACATAGATTCATTAGAATCTGATGAGAATTTATTTCAGCGATCATTTCAGGTTGTCATTTTATGTTTTTCAGCATGATCAGAATTAGAATTCATGCTTTTGTGGAAGTAAAAATGTTTAACAGGATGGTTTGATAGGTCTGATAGGTTCCAGCATTATAATGAAACTTCTAGTTGTGTACTTTAAGAATAATAATCTTTACCTGAGAATTGTTCATTGAGAATGAAAGTATGACTTTTAGTACAAGTAAAAGTAAGCAGAACATAATCTCTTTCTAGATTACATATGTGAAAGTTCTGGGTGGAGCTCCAGTTTTTCATTGTATATTGACATGCTGGTTTTTTAATGTATATGTGAGGTAGAGAGGTGAGAAATGGTGTTCTGTTGAGTGTCACAGGGGCATATACTGGAAAGAATTGTGAACTTATTGATTAATGTATTAGTAGTATAAAATACATTGATAACTTGAAAATTATCTTTTCTAGGATCTTTTTTCAATCAGTGCATATGTTTATGCTCAGATGCCACAAATGGATATTCATAGCTTTGAAGGTACCTTTACACGGGTAAGTAATTGTATCAAATACATAAGTAAGGAAAAACTGCTTCTAATGTGAATTACTGTTTAAATTAGTCAAATGTGTTTCATAAAGTGTTTACATGAAAGAAAGTGGTCAGTTAGGGTACTAGGTTCAAACGTCTCTTCTTTAGCACGCCATTATGCATGTTAAAAGGGTTCTCAAAAGGATTTTGGAAACCTTAGAGGTTAGGGTCTACGTTGTGTTCAGCCTAGGATTAGATATGCAACATTAGTAACAGCAACATGGGCAAAGACAAGTCCGTGTCCTATAGAGAATGAGATTTTTAGATGCAAACCAGACATGTTCCAAAATGACAGTCCTACTTTCCCCCAAATGCCATGCAAATGCTGAGAGCAGAATCAAGTTTGTAACCAGCAATGTTGTTTTTTGGTAGAACTCATAGCATAGCTAGAGCATAATGAAGTGTGCAGACACTGGATGTTGGAAAGTAAAAGAAGAGCAGGTGCTGGGTCCATTAAGAACAGAACATACAGCAGTTGCTTCAGTTCACCTTGGGGCATTCATTCTTGGAAGCATACTCTTGTGTGTATAGCCCTAGCTGGATGAGGATTAGCACACAAAAATGGTACTGTGTGAACAGTTTCCACTTCTGTTCCAGCTACTAGTACTGTGCATGTAGATCTGTCTTTTAAAAATACAGTCATCATGCCAATCAGCTGTTCTGGAAAAGTGGTAGAGGGTAAATATTAAAGCTTTTTCTGTTGTGGTGCCTTGACTACTGAGCTTTCTTCCCACAGAAAATATCTGGCACCAGAGTAGTTGAGCCTTGTCCTGGATATCCCAGGCTAGTCTGATCTCATCAGACCTTGGAAGCTAAGCAGGGTTGGTCCTGGTTAGTATTTGGATGGGAGACTACCAAGGCATAACAGAGTTGCTATGCAGAGGCAGGCAATGGCAAACCACTCTGAATGTCTGTTGCCTTGAAAATCCTCCATAAGTTGGCTGCGACTTGACAGGAAAAAAAAAAGTTGTTGAGCTTTAGATGCCAAGCAAAGACATTTTTATTTCCCACCAAAGTTTGTGCCTAGTTGTAATGGCTCATCATAACATAAATCCTTCCTACTTCCCAGGCAGTCTCCAAGATGCAGGTCTCCCCCCCTCCGTTATGATGATAATGATTCACTCACTGACTTCAGAAAAAAATGTGAAATCTTTGGCTTCTGACACTGGGTTCAACAATTCTATTTAAACCTCTCCTTACGAAGATAGCTTCCCTTTTCTGTATGGACTGGACCGCATTGGTCTCCATGCCATTTTGAAGCTCCATTTGTTTCAGATGCAACCTTAAGAATGCACTTGATGAAATAACTTTACAGTTTATCCTTGTGACAGTCTGACAGCCAGAAGCATAAATAGTTTCAGCCTGATTACCGGTCATTTAAGCCAACATGTTTTGGCTTAACTCAGTTTAGTCCCATTGAAGCAAATCTGACTGAAGTCATAGAACTAAAGTGGTTTGACTGGTCTGTAGATCCGTCTGTATTACAATCCTTTTTCAAAGGTATTCGGCTAAAATAATTATCTTAAAAGAATTTCTTCATTCTTGTCATAATTTTAGCTAGGTTAATAAAAAATGTACTGTGGCTTAGCTCTCCCAGAGGATTCCAGTGGGCAGAGGGATTTGTGGAGTGCAGCTTTCTCACCGTCCTTCTCCTGAAGCAGTCTGAAATGCCCTCCCCCCCAAATCCTGTTTCTGGGGATCCTCTGTCCCCAGCATTTCAGGCTGCTTCTGGAGAAGGAAGATGAGCAAGTTGTGTTTCTTGAACTCAGACCTCTCCACCCGTGGAAAACCTCTAGGGGACCTGAGCCTCCGTTCTGTTCAATAGGCTGTAAGATCAGGGATCCCCATTCTGGAGCCCATGGGCGCCAAGGCACCCGCTGACATCTTGGCCTGGTGCCTGCCAAGTGTTTTCAGAAAGTGGGCAGGGTCTGGTGAGGCCTTTGACCAGCAGGGCTTCTGATGGGTCATAAGAGATCTGATTGGCTGTGCAAATTCAAGAAATCATTGGTTTGGCAGCAGCTCCCTCCTACCACAGCACAAGGATTTTCACTGTGTGACTGAAGGGAAGCTGTGTGTAAACAAGTGAATATATTTCAACAGTATGTTCATTTTTAAAAGGCCTTCTCTTAAGCAGAGCTTCTGTCTGAAACATTGAAGAGTTACAGTTAGAGTTCTGCTTGGTGCACATTTTGTGTTTGGCTCTGCATCCTGTTGCAGCCATTCTGTGATTGTGCCCACCACCCCGTGTCAGCATTCCAAAGGTGCCTGTAGTCTCCAAAAGTTGGAGCCCCCTGCTATAGGTATTTCTGTGTCAGCCCATTAAAACTGATTAACCTAATGTGTTTGTGGGTTTCTGTTTATTTGAAATTTACACTTCTGTATGTGCATGGTTAATTTTTTATTGCTAAGACATGATTTAACCATTTGCTCCTGTTTCTAACAGGAAGACAGTGATCCAACTGTTCATGAAAGCCTAAGCATAGAAAATACATTATGGGCAAGCACTGTTGTTGCTTCAGGTAAGAAACAGTGCATACTTTACTTCGGTGGGTGATAATGAGCAAAGAGGGTTATTTAGCAAAGTACCTTTAAGTCTGCACTTGTAATTTGTACTCTGTCTAATCCTTACTGTCTCAGTGTTCCTGTTTGTTTAGTTGATCATGAATATTTCCAAAACCTTAGTCTCTTCATAAAACTCTATATTGCTCATTAAATTAAATTTGGACTGTCATTTATTTGGTGTAGTGATTAAGTATGCGGACTGTAATCTGGGAGAACTGGGCTTGATTCCCCACTCCTCCACTTGCAGCTGCTGGGTGACTTTGGGCAAGCCATAGTTCTGGCACAGCTGTTCTCTCAAGGACAGTTCTGGAAAGAGCTCTCTCAGCCCCACCTACCTCACAGGGTGTCTGTTGTGGGGAGGGGAAGGGAACGGAGTTTGTAAACTGCTCTGAGACTCTGAGTGAAGGGCGGGGTATAGAGCCAATCTCCTCTCTTCTTATTATTTGGGCCTTTCTTATCAAAAAGCATGTCCCCTTTTCATGAGACCAAAAATGTTCTGAAGTCAAAAATACTCTAGTGGACAATCTGGAAACTGGAATTTATCTACTGTGCATTGAATGAATTGTACATTTGCACCATAAATATTACTGATCTTCAGTAATGCTGATTTTGCAGTCCTTTCCCCCATGAAATTGTCAGAACTGCAGGCAGCAGAATGGAAGGCGCTGAGGTGTTCCCCCACATGATTTCCTAAACATCTCTGTGACTTAACTTGACCCTTTATTTGACATTTGCTGAGAGCAGCATACCTCATGATGTACCATCATGTACCTAACAGCCCTATCTTTAAAAAAACATGTAAAGAAAGGTGTTAGATATGGTGATGGTTTTCCTTTGTTTTAGTATGTGTACTTCATTTCTTTAGTGCAGCTGAATTCTGAGAAATTATTTTTATAGTTAGAGAGAAATGGTAATTTGTGAATTTCCTTTAAAAAGTGTTGATTTCACTTAAAGATTAAGGGCACAATCTCAGTTCCTCTTCCCTTAGAGGGGGAAAATGTTTTTCTGGACAATATTGCCTAATTACCTTAGCTACTCTATTAAGTATCTTGCTATGTGGAGACAGCCATCATGGAGTCTTTATGAAAGCTATTAGAAACCAATAGACACAAGTTCGCAGAGTTAACAAGAACCTTGAGCCAACACAAAAACTGTGATGTTGAACTGATCCTGCAGCAGCACAGAATTTCCTATGCACTTCTTCCACCCTACTACAGAACAACTAGAAACTTCAGATCAGGGGCTGGCTTCGCCACAAAGCAAAAGCTGCTTGTGCCAGATATACCAGGTGTCAAAGGACAAATCATGGGTGAATTGTATGAAAGGATAACATGTAAACTAATTCACAGTCGTTGATTGTGTTAAGTTTGTATGTCAAAGATGCTAAAATAAAAGGTTGCAATTTTTTTTTGCAGTGACCAAAATAGTCCTGTATTTGTTTTCTCTCTCTCATATATTTCAGTTACTATCCATTTGACTTTTTTTTTTTTGCTGAAACGTTTGCTTTATTAATTGCAGGCTTTGCTTTATTAATTGCAGGAACAGTAATTGGTGTTGTCATTTACACGGGGAAAGAGACTCGAAGTGTAATGAACACATCCAATCCAAAGAATAAGGTAAGGTAAACTGGTTTGAATGGAAGGAACATTGAGCTTAAATGTCTGTAAAAATTTAAACATCTTTGAAAGTTATCTAATTTACAGACTAAAAAGAGAATTAGGACCAAATACTGCCATATAAATATTCTCAAATGATTCCAAAGAAATACAATTGATGGCGTTGCCTTATGCCCTGCCATTTTGTCTACTTGAATATTTTACATATTCCATCTCTACTACTTAGCTTGCTTACAATCAGATTGCTTTTCAGCTGTGAGGCACAGTACTTCCAATACATCTTCTTTGTGAGAATCTTATAGGCAAGATGTACTTTATTCGTCAAATATTTAATTACTTTTGTTACTCATAGTTATTTTGGGCAGTGCATGAAGCTGGGTTGGGAGTTTGGAACATATAGTTCCAGCTTGCTGTGAAATCTAGTAAAGAGCGATCATTCATGACTGTAGCTTTTCACAAGTATGAGTTGGAGTTCCAAGGAGCATCTAAGGTGCCGGTAATAGATAGGATACAATTATACATGTTAGCTTAACTAATCAAACCTCAGGATTTCTGAAATGAACTGAGTTTCCCTAGAATCCTTGCAAGGAAGGTATGACAGCAATTTGTTGAATACTCCAGGCCTACTGCTTTCAGCTCCAGATGAAGTGACGTAAGAGAAGGACGTATTCAGGAACCAAAGTTGGAACTGTGAGGTTTAGGAGTGATAGAGAAGTGTAGAGGCTGACAGATGGAAAAGAAATATTGGAGCAGTCTAGGAGCCTCATGACTGGTAGTGGATAGATTTATTTGTGGGATTCAGTGTCTGAAGTAAAGGTTGCTGTTCTGAGGTGGAGGTTGTTGGGAATAAGGATCAGCTGAAAACACACAAAGATACATGCAAACAACCATAAACTCCTTGTGTTGCACTCAGTAAGAAAATGTACACTTTTACTGTGACAGTTGTGTCAAGACTGCAGGAACATTTTGGGTCTACTCTTAGAAAGGGAAGATGGATATGTGTTAATATTTGCAGCTGTGGGCACGTGGTGGTGCAAGATGTTGTCGGATTAGGCAACAGAACTTCCATGAGGTTTTAGAGGGTCATACCACAAGGTAGGATTGGCCCTTCAGAGATCCACACAACTGGGAGGGAAAGACAAAACAGTCTGATTGGAAAGGACATATTGAGTGACAGGGTAGGTGCAAAGACACAAAGACTTTGAAGGAGAAAAGTGAGAAATTGTATGGGGGGGGGCTTTGCAAACATACATTCCAGGGACAATTCATTTTCTTGCCCACTCGCTGCATCATTTGATCCCCAAACTGATTACAGTGTTGAACCTATAAAACTAGTTGCTCCTTGATATGGATGCAGTGAATTTTGGAAGCCTTTAAATTCTGGAAGCCTCAAATGTAGAATTAAGGTAGCTGTAGTATGCACAGAGTCATTATCTGTCTCCTAATAAAAAGAGTTTTAGACATTTATTTTAGAATTTTTGTTTTTGAAATTGCTTCTATGAAATACAGGTCAAAGATGTCTTGAAGTAGGTTATAATAAAATTGCTGCAATTCTAATGCCATTATGAGGCTCCCTGGGTCAGAATTATAATGTAGTCGTAGCCAATATTTAAACGTCATAAGCCATGCTCTTGTTTTGACTAGATTCAGACCTGTTTCTAAGCAAAGAACTGCATATGAGACACACTTTGGCAAGCCCAAAAACTTTACGTAGGAATTTGGACTGGACACAATCGGTGGCACTGTCAAGAGCTCTGATCCATATCGGGATCCCCCACAATAGTTGTGAGATCACTTTGGCATTAAAGATTTTTAAAGCAGCTGGTACAAATTGGTTACCTCTACTGTAGAAAAATCGTGTTATAGCTGAAGCACTGATATTTGCAGTATTTATTGCATGTTTGTGTTGGATAAACTGACACATTGTATTGAAAGTAGAGGCCAAGGTATCTGAAGTGCTTAACTTGTTCTATTACTTTTCCATCAATTATCCATTTAAATAGTTGACAAGTTTTAGACAAGACTAGGATTTTTGATTTCCCATGATTCAGCTGTAACTTGTTAGTTGTAAAGAACACAAGGCAATGGGTCAGTAAGCGTTTTAAGCCAACTCTAGAATGGGACAATAATACTGTATCATCAGCATACAGAAGTAGGGGTATGTGTAAAGAGCCACGTTTGGGGCTATGATAATCAACTGACAAGTGAGGGGCAAGGTCACTGAGAAAAAGATTAAATAAAAAGGGAGCTAGAATGCAACCCTGTTTGACTTCCATATTAGTAGGGATTTTCGGGGTTAATTTGCCTGCAAATGAGCATTTAATTTTGCAAGTGTTGGAGGTATATAGCTACTTGATAAGCATAAGAAGCTCTCTTTGCAAAAACCTTACTGTCCTGGACCCAAAACTTTTTGGTGCAACATCCAGAGAATAAGCTTGGCTAATAAATGTTTAGTATACAACTTGCCCATTGTAGAAAGTAAACTGATTGGCCTATAATTGGCAGGAATAGTATGGTCACCTTTTTTATATATATTGGGACCACTGTTGCATTCAGCATGCATTAGGAATAAGGCCAGTTCTATCTATCATTGTAAAGAGGGATGCAAGAGGAGCGGCCCACCAATCCTGATTTTAGAATCTCAGAGGGAAATATGTCTGGGTCAGGTGCTTTTCCTGATTTCAGTTTTTCGATCAATTCTTTAATTTCGTTAGATGACACAGGTGACCAGTCAGTTAGGTTCTCTAGGACAGACTCTAGTGATTCACTAGCATAGGTACGTTCTTGGTGGAAAAATACTGGTACCAAACATACGAGGCTCTGGCAAGACATATACCTGCTGGGTTTAAAAAGCTATCTTTAGAATGTCTTGGATAGGAAAAAGTAGGTGGAAGGGTATCGTCTTGATTGCTTTAAGAAATATGCTGCAATTTGGTGTAGTGGTTAAATGTGCGGACTCTAATCTGGGAGAACCGAGTTTGATTCCCCACTCCTCCACTTGCACCTGGCTGGATTACCTTGGGCAAGCCGTAGCTCTGATAAGAGCTGTTCTTGAAAAAGAGCAGTTTCTGTCAGAGCTCTCTCAGCCCCACCTACCTCACAGGGTGTCTGTTGTGGGGAGGGGAAGGGAAAGGAGTTTGTAAGCCACTCTGAGACACCTTTGGGTAATGAATGGCGGGGTATAAATCCAATCTCTTCTTCTTCTTCTTCTTCTTCTTCTTCTTCTTCTTCTTCTTCTTCTTCTTCTTCTTCTTCTTCTTCTTCTTCTTCTTCTTCTTCTTCTTCTTCTTCTTCTTCCTACTATGCTATGCTCCTGCAGAGTACAGGGGGTTGGACTAGATGACCTTAAAGGTCCCTTCCAACTCTAACATTCTATGATATGATTCTACTTGAGCGTTAAAATCACCCACTAAAATTATTTCCGTGGACAGAAATTTCCTCTCTAATTCCTCCATAATTGTGACCAAGTGTTCCCAACATTGAGAAAGAGTTAAATTGTCTAAAGAGGATGGTACATATATATCCACAATAATTAGAGATTTACCAAGGACACGCTTGATGGCCTGTGCCATAGGGCTAGTCATCTTTAGAGTGATGTATTCCGAGAAGAGATATGAGGATACAAAAATAGACAATCATGCTTGGAAGCGACCCCTTGTATTACTTCTGAAGGCAGGAAGGGTATAGGATTTATACCCTTCAATCTGAATCTGGCATGTAGACCAAGTTTCTTGGACTAGTATGACATCAAACTGCTTGAGGTAGCTAATAAAGTCAATGTCCTTGGCATTATTTCACCAGCCCGCCACATTCCAAGAGATGATCTTAATATCCAAGGTGGTAGGGAATTTAGATGGCGATGGTGTAGAAGAAGAAGTTATGAGTCAGTCTCCTTTGGTTAGTTGTTCAGGTAACTGAGAAAGTGGCTAAATTCCTTCATTCCACCATGCTGCTACGCCAAGAAAAAGTACAGCTGCAACCTATTATTTTATCCAATGTATTTGCAATACAGTGTCCTACTTATATACTTTTTATAATAACTTTGTTTTACTGATATATGCTAATAAAGGCTGACTTTTTTTTTAATCCCCTGAAGACAGGGTAGCTTTATTAATTTTTTGTTACACCTACAGACTAACAGAAAAGAAAAAAGGAAGGGAAAAGTTACCCCAGGATAAAAGGACAGCAAATTAAACCCACACTATAACTAAAAGCCCAAGAGGGAAGGTCCTTAACAGTTAGTATTCAGTTAGTATTAAAACTTATAACTTTTCATTTAAATCAATGAATTCAAGAATTAGTCAGTCCGTGTTAGTATTCCATCCAGCTTCTCTTGTGTGCACCGAGTCTCTTTCATCATCTTCCTCATTTGCGAATCTTTAGTTTATAAAGCGTTACTCTGGTCCTCTATGCCGCAAGTCATATGTCTCTCTGGCTACACCGCCTCCCGCTGCTCCTTGGTCTTTGTCCGTGTCTTCTGCAATGCCTGCTCCGCCGTCTCCTTCCTGCTGTTCCTCTTCCTTCGATCCAAAGTGCCGCTTCAACCATTTCAGTGCGTTGATTACAGTTTCCCTTATGTTTTCGTTCAATTTTTCTTCTATTCCTCTAAGTCTTATGTGACTGCAGAGTTGAAATCAGTTCTTTATACGCTTTCCTTTTCTGACAAACCTCAAACGGAGTGTCCTTTAGGACCCTGATGACTGTTGCTCCTAGCTGCAGGGGACTTGCTGCTGTTGCTTTAAGGATATCATCCCTCGTCTGTCTTCGGAGAAACTTGACGACAATTTCGCCTGGCAGGTTATTCTGCTTAATATATTTTGAGTATGATCGATAAATCACCTCAATCTCCGCCTCCGCTTCTGCCGATGAGACCCCCACCGCCGACGCGATGAGCTCTGACATCATCTTTTTCAAGTTTTCTCCTTGCGACTCAGCTATCCCCTGAAACCTGAGTTTCTTGTTTGCTTTCTCCATTTGCAAGTTCAGCAATCTTCTTTCCT